GGGTGGGTGGGGGTAGGTAGCTGCGCATTGCAGGCGGGAGCTCATAAATTGGTGCATAAATCCAGCACTGTCAGTGGTCTGTCAGGTGGGGGGGGGGTGGGGGAAAAGGAGCTATGCATTGAACGCAATAGCTCATCCGAATAACTAACAAGAGGAACAAGGTTTACTTTTTGTGGCATTTATCAGGTCAGAACACCACGAATTCGCGTGACACTACACAGCAGTCATATATGTACTATGGCACACACGATAATTTACAGGTAGGGAGAATGTGAAGGTCAGTTGGTTCATTTAGATGACATTAATTAAGCCGTTGTCACTCACGAAGGAGAAGTTAGATAACCCAAGTTAGACCATTATTTTAGCTTCTTCCGTGTGTTGCGTAAGCAGACTCCAGGTAAAGTGAATTTGTTTATTTCACAGGTTCCTTAAAATGAGTCACTCAGAGTAGGGTACTACTGTACCAATTATACACGTCAGATCTCGTGACACGGGATAGTTTATCATCTTCCCACACCACAAACAAAGTTTCGGTCGAGATGCCGTTTTCGGTAATAATGAAAAGAAATGTTACCCGGAATTAAGATCCTTTGTACAATTGATTCCGAGGTACGCCACACTTATATGTACGACAAGATGTTCTTCGGATATTCGGTTTAGGCATGTTTATGAAGATGGGAACAGTCACCAAGTTCATACATACATGGCCTACAAAAAAGTGTTGAAAGCTTACTTATTTTAGCTATCCAGCCGTGAATTGACCTGCTTTCTCAATTTCTACCTTAATCTGAAGTTTGAATGGCTGCCACTGACAAGCAGGTTAGTCTCGATCAGATATTCTTTCGGGGTTACTGATGCTGTTTCAGTACTTTTAGTATGCATACAGGGATCGCTTGAATGAAAGACGAGGATAGTTCCAAGTATCCTGAGCTCTGACATTTGGTAGGAAGCGCTATCGGGTCGTCATTGATTTCCAGTGATCACTAAGAGTTTAAATGAGGAGAAGCATGAGTTATCGTGTTTGTCATCCTGCATCATTCGGGCATTATACCGCATGTAGGCATGTTCTCCATTAATGCCTTTCTTCGGCGAGCTTTTGTACTTGGTTCAGACGAAAGAGGATTCGTCACAGGAGGTAAAGCAAACCGGGGAACATTACCAGTTCATTTTATCCACTTCAAAGCTCCATCGTAGGAGCAGTCAAGTTTTACAAGTTAAACCGTTCAGCCATTAACCGCTGGTTGTTTTCACCGTTAAGCGGAAGTGGTGCAGACCTAATTTAAACATTCCAAAGCCTATGTTTTCGTTTCTACCTTAAATCAAATGAATCAAGTGAAACAAATTTCACAGTCACGTTGTGTATAACATCCAGGCAGAGTTAAATTATAGTAGTAAATTGCCGAATAGAAAGTAGCTTCCTTGGTAAAACCTAAACGTACCTTATGTACTAAGTTCGTAAGCTACGATGTGACTAGTTAGCCCCATGAATACTATTGAAAAGAGATCTATGATAAACTGCCGGCTTGAATCGATCTAGCTACCATCATTCTGGTATAAGTTTTTGAATACTAACGGCTATCGGCAACTGATACACACAAATCAAATTGCTGTACACACTAACCGGCTATTGTCCTGTCACCCTGTCACCCATCCAGCATATGACAAACAATAATGCATTCGAAAGTCAGAAAAAGCGCTCTTGTTGTGCTGGGCATTTTTTTGGGTTCTTAGCAAGGTGGGTGGCAACGGTGAGCCCGTATCAGCTGGATCAATAGGAATAAGTTCTTCGGAGGTATTAGTCTATTATGCTCCCGCTGACAAAATGTTTCGGTGAAACAGATGTTCGTTGCGCTAGCAGTTTTTTTCTACGCAACTAAAAAAACAAACATGAGCAAACACAGAACAGCTTAAATGGGTAATATCGCATACCGGCCGTTACCTTTGAATAAGCAATTCCCAGTCGAAAACCTGCCGATCTGCAAACAACGTTGGCCTCAGCACCGCGAAATTGGTCCACACAAAAGGGTCCGGTGACAATTTGATCCAGTAGAAGATGCGCCATTACAAAAGAACCTTTCCGTCCAAACGAATCACTCAGGTTCGCAACAAAAGGTTGCTAAAGTGAACAAGGAAAGATTCCACCTTGGATTTCACTGATTTATGTCGGTTCTCATCCGAAGATAGACAGTTCACACAGAACAATAACCTTGGTCTGTGCATTAAGACTCTAGAGACAACCTGTGTTCGCTGCAGCATGAATACAAAATTAGTCTAGATATAACATACTAATACCAGTGTACCGGTGGATACTACTGATGGGAGCATGCGAGTGGTATGTTTTCTCATAAATTTGTTCCGCGTCTCTTGAAAAGTGAGATCTATTACGAAATTTGCGTAGTCTCATTCGCTTGCATTTGAGCGAGCGTCAATGAATATCCAGGAAAGTTTAGGAAGTCACGTTCAAGTAGAAGAAGGATATTCAGTTTCTGTAAACAAGATGCATATGGGAGTTTTGCTTCTCTGTCCAATATTCTGTAACTGCTCATTTGGCGTTTCCTAATAGATAACTCCACAACGAAGGCCTTCTTCCTTTCACCAGTACCGGTAAACACAAAATGAGATAAGAGGATTCTCTTGTGCCACTGCTCCCTTAGCCATTGTATTTCAGAGAAGGATCACAGCAGATGTGACGTACCTGATTGTGACAAGCAGAAATAAGTGAACTACTGAAGGACGCAAAATTTGGGGAAATGATACCAACTAGCCTCATTTTAGTGCTATTAGGGCTTGTCAACTGAGTAAAGTGGTGTAGCACCTTATAATCAACTTAGACTAAAAACACTAAAATATTTAGCAAATCAGTGTTTTGGCCACTAGAGAATAGAGATGAGCTGCAAATAAATCAAGATAAGACCGTGATAACATGTGAATAACGATCGAACAAGTAGCATCTTTGGGAGAAAACATTTTAGCTCATGGTTTAGGTAACTATAGATTATTTTACAGTGAACAAGGGCCCATGTGTAGGTTTTCTACCGCACTTCACTGAATGATAACGTATTCTCGTGCTTTAGTAACTGAATACATTACTCCACAGATAACCCGGGGGAATCTGTCCTTTCCCAACCACTGATTGTTCTCCCACTGGATTTCAAACTTCTTGAGAGATGAGTTTTTGGGGTTCGGTGAAAGTGAATCATACTTCATCGGCTTCTTCGACAGGTTCGTCCTTCTCCGCAACTTTCATCCAGCCCCCAACTTTGCTAACGATGGAGTAGTTTCTGTTGCACATGAACCAACTGGGCTATTCGGCTCAAACCAATGACAAGCGGTGGATCGTTGACTGATATCTGGATTTCACATTAAATACCACATGAGCCTAATTGCGGCCTAGCGATAAATGAGTTCCATGTGCCACACGCACAACGTTAGCCAGGTGTCAGCACTTAGTACTACCGAATTTGTGTGTCAACCGGGTGATGGTCAGCCAACAATCGAACCCCACTGAGTTGTATTAGATTATACAAGGGCTAGAGAGACAACCTCGAACAAGCGCCAAAGAGGTTCGGTGAAAGTGAATCATACTTCAGCGGCTTCTTCGACAGGTTCGTCCTTCACGCCTTCCCGCTGATTTGGAGTCTGGAAAAGCTGAAGATGTATTCTCGACTAAAAGCCATGAGGTGCGGGCAGGTTGCTTGTTACTCTTGAATGCTTCCCAGGTGCAAAGGGCCGTTCTCGCCGACGGGTTTATGATAAGCCACTCAGCACCAGCCGTCCCAGAGACAAGTGTGCAAACTGGTTTCGTTTATATTTCTTCAAAATAGAGGATGCGCTGCAGACACTGTACACCTTCATTAGGTGTGAGGTCCTGGTTTTGATTCAAACGCGTCGAATACCAGGTGGATAGTTCGCTTGTCGACCCTCAATTTATGGGACGGGCTGAAAGCTGTGGCCAAATGAGCACCGACGCACGTTATCCCAACCGACGTTGGCTACCGAAAAACGAGGCGAAAACTCACATCCTCCTAGTATTTGACTTGAAAGGGAGTTGCAAAAGTGATTATTCATTGACCAACTTCGCTGAGTCGTCTCTAACACACGCTCTCAGCATCAAAGGAGGCATCGACCTAACTTGAAACTGCAATAACGGCCACAATGTCTTTCAACTAGACTACATCCTGGTGGTAGACAGCATTTTTTGAAGACTTCAGGCCCCGTCCTGGAGCGAAAACTGAATAAATAGGGTATATTATTACCCGACTTGTCTCCTGTGGATGATGTCTTCCTGTCTGATCATTTCTGAGCTTATTTTAACCAATGAAGTTCGTGGCTTCCCAAATTACCTCCCAAATTTCGATGATTAGATCTTGCCCTGATGTTTTTGGCTTTTAAAAAAGGACTGCACAATTCATAGTTCTCAGTCAATGAACGATCTTATTCGGTCTTTAACAACCCAGCATGTGGTGAAGAAAACCACTTGTTTACAGAAAACCCTCTTTGGTCAACTCAGTTGGTCATTTCTGATGAACAGCATTTTTACACATGTCTAGGAGTTTTCCATTCTGTCACGTATATGCATAAATGAGTTTTTAGGTCTTTTCCGGAGGCAGAACTTATTGTTTCCAAATAACTGAATTGGTTAAAATGTAGTTGCTTCAGGCTCCAAACTCCCAGGCCTAGAGTGTGCTACAGTAGGAACTAATATAACGAATAAATTTTTAAGGCACGGAAGCCGGCTATTGATAGCGTCAAAAACTCACATTCCGCATGAGTTCTGATTTCTTGGAATTCACGTTTTCAATCTGCGGCTGCCTGATATTGTATTGCCACTTTATCGGTTCCGGGTTTAAGCAAACCACACCGGCTTCCTCGCGGGAAACGCAGTCATGCTCGGACCAAAATGAACAGTCTTCCAAGCGTTGCTCGTTGCCCTGACAGACAACATCGTCCATCAAATAGTTATCTGTGTTTGAGAAATAAAGTGCTGATGCTGTTTGACGAGTTTAATGAAACCGAGAGTACTCTTGTTCTTGATAATCTGGAAAGGCGCCTCAAAATTTTATGCACATAAAAATACCTTCCTATACGGTTCGCTGCCGTGTATATTAGTGCATGTTCGACTGCCTTCTTACTCCGAGAGCTGCCGTTCCGTAACAGGTATTGTGCTTTCGAGGGGTTAAGTGATGATGGGCAACGCGTCACAAACGGAAACCAGCCCACTTGAATGACTTATGGACGGAAATGCTTCAATACCGAGCTGGTCTTCTGCGTCCACCGAAGAGGAGTTGCGGATGATCAACGAGTTGCAGGCGCGGATGGTAGCATCTCCTCAAAAGCCCAACACGCTCCCTCTCGGGCAAAAGGCCATAGATGTGCTTGCTAATTTACAGATTTCCTGTTTAATCATAGCGGAGGAATGCGCAAAACCTGAAAAATTTACCGAGTCAAACGTCGTCATTCTTCAAGACTTCACGCCGTCTTAGGGTATGTTGGCATGTTGACTCATATACCGTGTATCTGGAGCCGAATTTTCCGCCTGATGCGCTAAAATATTATTTTTTTACTATGCCTTTCCCGCTAGGTGTTCTGTTTTATAGTGACTCAACTTTTGTTATCCATGACCATAACCATTAAAAAAAGAGAAGGGTTTCCATACCGTCTCATTTTTATACAGTCTAGAAACGAATCTAAAATACACAAGAAATTAGTTAAGGAGAGAATGTTCAAGGAAAAGCTATGTTTAGCTTGTGTCGACCTAAGCAGCCTTGGGTTGGATTGAAAAATGAATCACTGATGACTAGTAGCGGGAACTGTTTTGGAGAATGTAATTTGATTCCCACAGAAAGACAAAATCGGACAGTGGGACAACAAAACCGATTGCACGAAACACGTATTATCCTCTGGATAGGTTTTTTTGTGAGGGCGGCCAATACCGCTAACTCGCTTCCTGGTGTTCTCTTTGAGGCTGAGAGCTCCACCTTCTCTCTCATGGTTGAACGGTTTTTTTAAAACTCCGGGACGATTTGTCAAAAAATTGATTCGCATTCACATCGCTTTCTTTTAAACATTTCCCCTAGTCCTGGCACAAAAATTCTGTTGAGTCCGTGTTTGAGAGTGGAAACACTGGACTCGAGTTTCACTCTTAATGGAACCCGTCAGCAGTGGACATCATTGGCCGTGCCGGGGTTTGAACTCCAGACCTTTGAATTGAGGTGTGAACGTCTTGAAACTTCCACCAGCGCATGCCGGACGCGCGTAAATTATCACACATTAACATGCTTGGGCACTGACAGGTGTGAATCATTCTGTGTGCACGCATCCTTTCATTCAGCTTCACACGATGACGTGAAGAAAACTAACCAGGACACAAAGGTTTGAAAATGATAAAGTAGATAAAGTTTGGGTGATGTCTGCGGTAGTCCATTTGCTCATCTGAACATAGGTTCTAGAATGTTCCTTAACCTTCCTATTCGGTGGGATGGTGCTCAAGTGGATGACAAAGGACGAGGACAACCAAAGTAGTAAGACGGTGTGTGCATCGTACTGAGGAATCGTCATATGTAGAGTAGCATTGCTTTTTTCGTATGCAACCCAGGGAAATGGACTTTATTTATTTCAAAAGCTTACTTTATACCAAGGACCCTTAAATGAAGTAATTAATCTTCCATTGTCATGTAGAGCCCGAGAGAAACACAGTACTTTACAATTACATTTCAAACACCTGAGATGAAAACAACGCGATAGAATGTTGAACAAGTGCGAATGTGAAACCAAAGTTCACTTCATCAGATGAGCAAAACCCGGGATACCTTCAGGATAAAAGCCCATTTAAGCTTTGTTTAAGTCAGTGAAAACGTACACAACGCTAGAAGCGGAGGGGAAGCAAGGGGAGAAAACGTTTACGTTGACGTGGATTGACGTGATACTGGTGAGGGAATGAGCAACAGCAAGCAGGTCATTTTCTGTGCGCACAGGAAGTTTAGCGCAGGGCGCGGAAATTCCACATTTAGTGAAACGGACACTTGTATCCCTTGTCGTCGTTTGCATAGCCCTAAGTTTTACTTGGCTGCATGTAGTTAACACAAGTTACAATCAGTACTGTAACGTCCGTGAATGTGTGACTAGTACCCCGTAGTAGTATTAGTGAGTAGTAGTGAGTAGTACCCGGTATACACGAAACGGAAACCTTTCATAAAATAACCAAAATGAATGTTTACAAAACCTAAGGGAGAGAATCCATAGTTCACTTATCGAAAATTAGCGCAGGGCGCAAAAATTCCACATTTAGTGAAACGGGCACCTGTATTCCTTGTCGTTCGTATAGCCCTACTTTTACTTGGCTGCATGTAGTTAAGACAAGTTACAACCAGTAACGTAACGTCCGTGAATGTGTGACTAGTACCCCGTAGTAGTATTAGTGAGTAGTAGTGAGTAGTACCCGGTATACACGAAACGGAAACCTTTCATAAAACAACCAAAATGAATGTTTACAAAACCTAAGGGAGAGAATCCATAGTTCACTTATCGAAAAGCCTTAATAAAATTTCACTATGCTCCTGACGTCTTGCCGGCTGAGCTTGGCAACCGAAGATCATCTTTACCGCTCTATATGTAGAATACACTCACAAATTACTTTCTACAACATTTAATTGCCTGTACACGAACTGTATCAGTAACTTTTAAAAGGAATTTATGATTTCACAATGACAGTAGCTGCTCACTGGTAAGTGTGAGTGTATCTTACGGGTATTGTTCAACGGGACACCTTGAAGAATCAGAGAACTCTTAGCACAAAGGGATGCCAGGGATACCGATTCTGATATATTCACCTCATACCTCATTTGCATAGCATGCAAACCGTAGGTGTGACCAAATTTTCACAATTTTTGATCTGAAGATTTTAAAAGGTCTAAGCTACCAAATTCTCCTAACTTTTTAGCACACACGACTGTAATACACACACAAAGCAGCCCAAAATTATCGACACAGCGAAACACAATAACATGGTGCTTGATTATAACCAAGTGTAACGAATGGCTGATCAAAAGTTCTGAAAATTGTGCCACTGGTTCCCTAGATTTGGAGCTTAAAAGGCTATTTTTCCAGATTTCCCCAATTTCAGTCTCCGCTAAACTGGACATATGTACAGCTAAGCACTGTACAGAGATTTAAGTGTTTTTTCCTCCTAGCTTTTCTGAGGTTTTCGTAAACCCAATAGGTGGAGGTCAATTTTCCAACATCTTCACTATCGTCCCCACTGAAACCCAAGCGACCTCTGTACTGCACACAGTAGAGAATCGCCATAAACAAAAGCTTGCACTGAGATCCTATTGAGTGTTCGGTTAACCTCAGTTTAATTTGAAAGTGAAGGCTCGTCTTCACAGTAGACATACAGTGGTGAATGAAGGGAACGATCATCGGTGAACCAATATTATGAGGTCAAAAATTTTGTGCCCACAAGCTCATGTGGCCCACCTCAAGCGACAAGCTCACTGGAATATGTTCACATACACAAGGACACTAATCGTGGTCAAAGGTCATCCCCGGCTATCAACACACACGTAACACTACTGAACACACAACCACTAATCCACCGTTACACACAACTACACACTGATGATGTCACCTCGATTGGTGATGAAACGTTTGTAATCAGATTTCCCAGCTCAGCGAACAAACCAACGACCATCTACACTTTTAAGCATTTAGCGATGTCACTCACAAACACTACAGATACCCGTCACTGCATCTTGGGGAGAAACTCAGTCGTCGTGAGTCTTTTCCTGTTAAAATTAACCTATTTGTATGAGTTCCTGCGTACGTCTCAACAACCAAGATATTCTCAGCCAGTTTCGCGTCAACAGAATAGCTTCTTATGACTATGCGCATCTGACCGTAAGTGCAGTAGTTGTGCAGTCATGTATCCGGAGACCGGGCTGTTTCCTAGGTAGACTTGTATGGAGAGAGTTCCAAACGGAAACTGCCAATCACATTTGTAGGGCCTTTAAAGCGCCACCAATGAAGGAGAATTTAACCTTGCGTCCATACTCAAAGAGAAGATCTCAAAGTTTGGGTCACCAAAAGTAAAATATAACTGGCATCTTAAATTGGGGAATTGTGCTTTTGGTAGAAATTATCCACTTCGATTGTCGTTTTCGTTCTGAGTTTCTGGAGCGGGTAAACATGTTAAATGCATGATCTTGCTGATTACCGTGACACTACACGATTGATAATTACGGTGGAAGATGCCATTGGCATCTCCCGAAGCCAGATCGCTTTTTGCAACACTTGGAATCATTAGAAAATACGTTGTTCTCTGTTTCAACTTCTTTGATTAGTGGTTTATTACACATGTAGCAAATGGACACGATTTGGAAAGACGTTTAAACCTAGTAACCTGAAGCTAATATGATTTCCACAGTTTTAACATACGGAGAGTTCCACCCACCCACTAAACCAGGGTATACAGACATGATATTGTACAAACAAAATCTTTTAAGCCCCTCATTACACGGATGTAGGCAAATTTTCCAGCAAAGATTTACGACAAAAAGTCAGCTGCTTAAAAGAATTTCCCTTGCGACTTGTTCAATATTGTAAATATTGTTCATTCGACGATATAGATTTCCTAGCGAAATTCGCTTTGACAACCACGAAAAGTGGCATTTACGTAAGAATGTCTTAGGATGCGATTATACCTTTCCCAGTATTGGAGGAAACATTAAGGCGGTTTTAAATAGCACAGTATTTGTAGTGCATTGCTAAACTTCTAATCCCGTCGGTGCTCATGGTCCATGCCAACCAGGTACCCGAAAGTCATCAGTTTGCCGCTCCCATCAGTTATCAATTACCTTCGGACGTAGCGCCACATCTATCACATGAAGTCAATCAGTATCCTGCATAGAGAAAGATGGACTCATTTACAAAATGTCTGATACACACAGTAAATAGACAATCATCGACCGAAGTCAAGGAACTAAGCTTCGTCAGCCATTAGACAATACCTGTCTACCCAGGTACTCAAACCTAATTGGTGATCAATTTACATAGTCACTGATTTGAAGCATAGATATTCGTGTGTCCTAAAGTTCCGCATCTAAACAACAGAGCGATGCTATCAGCACCCCATCGTTATCTTCTCGTTGGTGCGACAAAGGCCTTCAACCACGCTGTCATCAGAATCAGGATTAATCAGCTAACTCGATCTCTATGGTCTGCCATCCTTAAGGTCACACTAATCTGTAACGTTTATGAAAGTTACATCCGAATCGGAGAAGCAACGCAGTTACCTTTTATAAACACATGGATAATTGAGAACGTAAGTATAAAAGTGGACGCGTAACGCACTTTTCAGGATAAAACAACAGCGTCTAGTCGGTAGTCTCGTTTTATAATGCAGCTGAGCGATGACACCGCATTGGATAACATCTACTTGATGTAACCGAAAGTAAACGAGCTTGAAGTCGCCCTATGAACCTCTTTGTGTCACGCCAAAACCAAGAAGTATCAGCAGCAATCTGGCCTTTCCTAGATTAGCCGCTATAAAGGCAGCAGGTTTTTTGGTTACATTAAAAATGGCATCATTTACACCATAAAAGGGAGTGAATGTAACTTACAATCACCAGAACTGAAGAAGTAGTCCCGAGTCGTAGCCTGTAGAGCATAAGGGTACCCGAGCATTTTGCACACCACATTGGCTTCTTTCAGCGTCCAGTTATCATCACACACAGTACCCCAACGGCCATTTCGGTTGACCAGCACTGTTCCTTCATGTTTTGCCGCTCCATCTATCAGCATCAAATTCGACGCATATCCTCTCTTACGCCTGGAACCCACATCGGTGTTTTCTAATTTGGTTAGAGAGGACTTAACCACAACGTGTTGTTTCGCACTCCAATACTGATCAGTAAAGTCACTAAACTTGTTGAGAGATGAAAATTCTTTCCACCCTTCTCCGAGGCTTCCATAAACGAACAACAGTAACTGAAAAGTGAACACAGCACAAACAAAAAGCCACGGATCTTTCTTCATCGGACCGTGACGAACACAACGTCAGGAACTAACAGACACTATGGAGTTCAGTGGCAGTAGACACGGCTATAAACTGTACAGCACCGCTGACTGTATTTGCATAAGGTCAGGCAAATGGATGCATCTTATCTGCATACCACCGCCAGACTCTATCACAACGAGCGCATTTGCCGGAAGGGAGGGGTTTCCGCTAACCGGTGTACATATATGGACACCGGAAAAATTCTTGGTGCCTGGTGGTCCTGAAAAAAAGGTTGTTGCAGCATAAACCAACTTTTAGATCATGCGGTACGTTTGCTGTACAATCGGTTCGGCAAACTATTTGGACGGGCTTTTCTGAAGACATCTACTAGTGCTGGTACCCAAGCTTGGTCCTCAGATCAGAAGACGTGCGGCGGAATCCTGTTCAATATCCAGGACCAGAAGAGAAATATCGAAATGTTGCGACTCAATTATGGAAGCAAGTTCTGAACGGAGTGTGATAATTGGGGTTGCGAAATGTACATAAATGTTTTCCAGGTAGGTTACCTTGTTTGAAACCACCCAGGCTAGATACCTACTGTACCTCAGAAACTACCGATTTGTTTTTAAATCTTTCGAGTTGTTCCCCGAAGCTTCGTGCTAAAGAGAAGGCATTTACTCGCCCCGTTTCTTGTTATTGAAGAGAAATGTGTGCAAGCACAAGGTGGTTAAAACACTTATTTAGAAAAATCACACGGATAACAAATGTTTCCTTAAAACACCAGTAATTTGATAGGTTTTGCCGGTGTTAGTATTCTGAAAAGGTGGCCCCAACAAATTTTAATTGCACTTTCCATTTACATCAGCTTAGCTGGCTCTTTTAACCAAGACTACAAAAGAATCAAAACAGCCTCGATTTGACGAAGTTCTAAACTTCACAACTTGCACAAACTGTTTCAAGTACAATAATATTTTGACTTATTCTTTCAATTAACGGAGCGATTGAAAGTACGAGCACCAAAATATGGAAACAAATGAGCGGATATAACTCACTCGACGTTGTAGACAGGCAGTGATACTTTGACATAAAAGGAGCCATACAAACTCATTTTACCTGTGACCAAGTAGCACCCGGTAAAAATACTGGTGACTGTCGACAACGAGTGGAAAACCTGAGTAAAGGTGAGTAAAGAGGACGTTTGTAACCCAGGTTGTAATGATGCTCATTTGTTTATTCGCTGAGCTAGGCAACTCGGTTGCAAGTGTTTCATCACCAGTCCACGGGACATCATCGCTGAGTTGTGAGTGGAACTGCTTTGAGGTTCAAATGCGTGGATGCTGTGATTTCACGGACTGATGTAGAGTCTCACCACCTGGGTCGACTTGGATCGATTGATGTTCATTTAGAAAAGCATTACTTCCGTTTTTTCGTTATCCTTTCTCCTGACCTCTCAGTGTCCTTGTGAATTGTGACTTCATCTCTTCAGACCCGACCATGAATTTTGTTCGCCAGCCCCATTGGCCCGGTAGCCGAGAGTGACCCAGGGTTACCGTTGAGTTGGCGGTCTTCCACTCATATAGGTGGGTAGACAGGGTGATCTCGATGTGCAGCATAACTGGGCCACTTAGGGCAAAACTTGCTTCTTGGAATTCTCCATCGTTATTGAATCTAATTTGACCTGATGATAATTCCCCCATTCATTTGCCTACTCCGCCTATGTCCTTTTGATCTCCAGTTGTTTTGCCTATTCGTACCCGCCACTCACCTTGACACAGAGGCCATCCTTTCCGACACTGGACATGTGTTTCTGTGTGTGAATGAGCGCTGCTGACCTACTTACCCATGTGCGTTCATGTCCCGTTTGCTGAGCCTGCCTTGATTTGTTTTCTCATGGGTTCCGCGTGATCGCACGTCCAATGAGAATCACGAGACCGGACCGCAACCCACGCTACTGAGCGGTCATTCCGCTCGCCGTTGTTTGGTGTGCGGACGTTGAAACTGCACTGTGCCGGTCAGTGACAGTCCTGTGAACTTGCTGACGCTACGAACGTGAACAATAGAGGTTTGTTTTACACATTTGCTTACCCTTGTGCAAATAGTATCGTGGAATTACGAACGCAATTCTTCCTTTTGATATACAGGATTGTCGAACCTACGCGTCACTCAAAGTTCCGTATCGGGAACCTCGACACTCGTGTCTTGTACCTCTGGATGCTACGATCCTCAATGTACGCCTTTCCTGATCGTCTCCCATGGAGATTAGAACTACTGGGTCATGCCGTCCAGAAGCTGCTCTGTGTTTCTTTAGAAATTTTTCCTCCATCCTGTTCAATGTAATGTTTGTTGGACCCCATTCACTTCACCTGGGGCATTCTTTTTGTGTGCTCGTTACTCGGGTTTGTTGTGGGATCTTGAGATGAGTTTCCTCAAACTGACCGCTGGTTTTCCGACAGCTAAGGTTACTTTCGGTTGCAGTATGCCGTTGATCTTGATGTATCTGAGTTTGTTGGGAATCTTTCTGTCAAATCGTCTGCCTATGATAAAGTTCCTCGGGTATCGGTTGCTTCAAACTAAACGATGTAGTTGATCTTTCCGTCCGAGTTCCGCTGTAGTGAACTGCGTTTTTACCCTCCTGGACAGAGTTTTATTACAGCCTTTTTGAGATTCACCCGTAGTCGCTCTGTTAACTTCGTATTGGTCGCCGAACGTCGCCCAACGATTTACACTTTTACAGAGTTCCTTCTGTGCTTCTGCTTACCAGTCAAAAAGTGCTGCCTGATACAGTTGGTATCTTCCAATATCATATCATCATATCAGTTTGCTTGTATTACTGCATCTTGTCCATAATAACGAAGGCGTTGTCCAAATGTCTAGTCCAGATCTTCGGTTGAATAAATGGTAGCACAGCACGTCCCGGTTTCTGCATATCTTCCTCACCGGTGAAGCCATAAACAAGATATTCTATTCAAGTTCTGTGTAGCTGTTTGTGTTTGCTTTAAATTAATGCCAAAATCCGAGAAGCCTTCTGTAGCTATCCACGAGGGTTGAGATTTTTTTCAGCTTATGTCTAGACAGGATTCTGCGCCACTCATCATCCAGTGTCAGTTCGCACCAAGTGATCCAGTATTGACTGGCGCCCTGATCTATTTGCCAGTTGTAAAACCACTTGTTATCAGATTGTTCAGTTATCTTTTGATCAGAAACAACGATGTAAAATAACTAAACTATTTGTACCAACAATCAAGCAGTTTCACACATACATGAAAACGCCAAAATTTGGCTGATGAGCAATCCACCGTCTACCGAAATTTTTTCAATGGTCAAAAATTAAACACGCTGTTTGTTTTGTTGCCTTCAGGTTGACCTAGAATATTTCGGTTATCATAAGTGAACAGCACTAACAAGGAAAAACCATGTCGCGATTGCTCCGTACCTAGTTTTTTTTTTAAAAAAATTGGTCATTGTGGCAAGCAAAAATCAAGCGGGTTAAGTCAGTTACTAAAAATCAAGTGCTGGCTGAAACAAAACCCATTGTCCTCTGCAACTGCTTACTCCATGACATGACAAGTATATGTCTGGACGGGTATTCCGATGGTCGTCTAGCAGAGGGCATGGCAGCGGTTGACAGATTCGTAATTAAATGCGGGGATAGTCCAGGAAAGGATCCTGTCATATTGAATTTGTCTAAAATCCGGACGGCAAATAAGACTCGTTAGATTCCGCGGCATTGACTATCAGGCCACTGCGTTTTTTCCGCTGTTCACACAAGAAACTCATTTGTCATAATGCTTCCGGATTAGAGACGGGAAGATATTGCCCTTGGTGTGTGAAATTTTGACGTTTTGGTGGTTTGGTTCGAAAGTTGGAAATCCTTTTAGAAAGGCAGTTTGCTTCCTCGGTCATTTCTAGCAAACGAACAGCCTTCAATCGTATCTAGTTGGAGGGGTATCGACGTGGATAAGTGAACATTATATGAAATGTAGTGCCTTCTCACGTTTCCCTTTAATAATGAACGTTCATGACCAAGGGAATTTGGTGATGAAATGTACCAATCTTCTTAAATGTTTTGCGATAAAGTGAGAACACACGGAATGAATAGTTTGCGGAGATGTTCGTGAACCTGAATTTTACATAGGATTGTCTCTTAGCTACTCATGGCGCTTTAATTTCTTGGTGTATGGTTATCCGTAGTTCAATTCAGACTCTCCTACAGCTGTTCTAGCAACCCTCCATTTCAGTATCAACAGTGTTAGCCATCCACATTTACTCTCCTACACTGTTCCAAGAAACCTCCATTTCAGTATCAACAGTGTTAGTCATCCACATTTAACTGACGCAGATGATTTTATAAAATTCTGACCAAATATATCTTACCGTCTAAGGCTCTGGGCGTTGCGTGAGACTTGCACCCTTTGTTGGGGAATACGACTTCTCAGGCAGACATAATTTTCTAGAGATTTGTTTCCTGAACTGTTCAACACTACTAAATACTATCTGTAATTTTGATCGGTGAAACACACTTATGAACGAAACATTTACTGAGTTTGGCAATGTTGTAACAGCCGGCTAATCACCAACCGAGATATGAGCAGCTCATGTTGATGCGCCTAGCCCAGCGGACAAGTCAAGTGTCAGCTTCAAAACTTGATTCACCAAAACTCTTTCCCATATAAAACACGGCTTCAGATGCTTTGAAATGCCCCCGGGTCTTTTTTCTGATCGTGGACTCGGATATCAAATGTATCATTGCAATAACTTTATTCCAAATGTTCCGTTCAAAATCCGGTAGTTTCATCTTCTCACGTTTGTTTGAAATTTATATTATACTTCCTCAACTACTGCTGATTGTTGCCGTACTCATGCTCATCTAAATGAACAGCCGTTTTTGTCTTGGCAATTGGTCGAGGGTCCACGGATTTTCTGTGGTTGATGACATATGTACCTGGGAAGGGACCACAGAAGTCATGAACGTACATCTTCGAAGAGCATTTGAAACATTATAATTAATCGATAAAGCTTATCTACACACTATAAGGCGGAAAAGTGGGCAAACTCACTAGTT